TATATATTATATCTATAAATATATATTAAATAATATTATTATTAGTAAATTATATATATAAATAATATTTTTAAAAAACTCAAAAATAATTATTACTATATTTATCAAATTTAATAATGTTGAATTTTAGTTTTTTAAAATACTAACGTGTACATTTTCTCTTCCATATGGTAATGTTCTTTATCTTCAAGTGAATGAGTTAAGAGTTCGTGATATTGACTAAACAATAAACTAATATGATCCATTAATGATCGCCTATCATTATCTAAGCCGGAATTCATATGTAATAGCATCTAATAAATAAAATATAATATAAGATAATAATAAATATGTTAAATATAATATTATATAATTCAATATTAATTTGTACCTCACATCGTTGATTTAATGTATTGATTTGAAATTCTAAATTCGAACATCTTTCATCTCTGGTGCTAAGTTCACCTTGCATTTCTGTTAATTTTAGACTTAATCGATTTGTTTCAATCTTATTTTTCCGATAATCTTCCTGCAAATTTCTGTATTCCATTTTCAATTTTTCTGTAGCAGTATACAAATTTCTAAAATCATCCTAAAATAATTAAAGAAATTAAACTTCAAATATTCATGATTTATTTATCTTTTTACATTTATTTAATACCTTAAGTTTTGAATGTTCTCCTCTTAAATTATTTAAACTTTTCGCATCACTGACCAATGATTCTTTTTCAGTTTGCAATATCTTATTTCTTCCTTTTAACCCTTCGTAAGATTCGCGTAACATTCTAATTTCATTTTTTACATCTCGTAAATTTGATTTCAAAGCATCGTGTTCGTGGAATAAATTTTCATATTCATTATTTAATTGTTCATGCAATGATTGCAAAGTAACTTGGTCATGAAGAAGTTGTGTATGTGCTTGTTGTTGTGCGCTTCGTTCTTTTAATAACTAAATTAAAACATTTAATAATAAAAATTTAAAAATCAAAATTTACATAATATCAATATAAAATTATTTAACTTTTTTATACTTTTAATATCTACAGATATATATATATATAAGTATTAATTATATATATAAATAGATATGATACACACACACACACACACACGCGCGCGCATAAAAGTAATTGTAGTAAACATTAAATATTATATAAGTAAAGTTTAATAAAAGTAAAATATATTTACCTCTTCTTTTTCAGCAACAAGTTGCGAATTTGCCAGTTGCAATGCTGTATGTTGTGCTGTTAAAGAATTATTTTGAGATTGTAATGTTGTGATCTGTACTTGAAGTTTCGCATTTTCAGATAAAAAGCTTTCTGATGCTGTTTGTGCAGTAACTAATTTCATATTTAAATGTTCTTGTTCTTTCTAAAATAAGAAAATTATATTATAAATTATGTTTCATAATGATACATATTTTTTAATATAGTATTTTTCTTTCTTTTTTATTATTTCCACATACTTTAAGTGATTCTACTGTTGCTTCTAATGTATTATGAATACTGCTAGTTACACTGTTCTCGGAATTTATAGACTCAGGTACTGATTTTTCACTAGAACAGGAATTATTTGATTTCAATATATAATCAATGACCTCCGGAATTTGTGCAATTCTGTAATTATTAAATATTAATCATTAATTTAAGATTTAAAATTTTTAACAATTTAAGAATTTTAATTAAAATTTAAAATTTCATTACTTTTTAATAATGTTATCTAATGGAAGAGATAATAACATATTATCACTGAGACCAAGCTTTTCTAAAACTGTACATAGTTGTTGAGTATTCAATTTTTCAGCTACTAAATTTGACTGTAAAATTTCTAACGTTTCCCTATCAATTGCTGCTCGTGAATCTAATTCTTTACTAGATCTTTCAATTTCTTGTAACCTGTCAATAAAAAAATATTTCTTTATTATTAAAAGAGCATTTATCTGGAAACATATAAACATTCCGAAAAATATGAATGATATTTAAATAATATTAACAAAAATGTTTTAGACAAAAATTGTTTATCTGATGATTGGATGCTCAATTTTATTTGATTCTGATATATTAAAAAGCTTTA